TGATAGTGTTTATGTTGCCAACATTGTTAGACCTTTAGAAACTTCTCCATATGTTCTTCCAACCTCCCAGGTTCGTTCCTTATTAGTTCAGCTCCAACATCTTATTTGGCAGCGCATCCACCCTGCTTATGTGGGATTTATTCGTGCACATACTAACCTTCCAGGACCCCTTGCCCAGGGCAATCAAATTGCTGACTCCTTGACCCGCCCTAGGGTCTTATTTACTCAGGAGCAGCTGGCCCACCAGCTCCATGAGAGGTATCATCTAAATGCCCGCTCCATTAAATTTCACACTGGGTGCCCCTTATCCATAGCTACACAGATTACCTCTCAGTGCCCTGATTGTGCCCCTTATCATAATTCTCCCAATGAGGGGGTAAATCCCCGGGGCCTCAGGGCCAACCATCTCTGGCAAATGGATGTCACTCACCTGCCGCAGGCAGGGAAATTAAAATACATGCATGTCTAGGTGGATACATATTCTAAACTGATTTTTGCCTCTCTCCACTCAGGAGAGAAGATTAAAGATGTTATTTCTCATTGCCTGCAGGCCTTTGCCTACATGGGTGTTCCAGATGCCCTAAAAACGGACAATGGCCCTGCCTATGCCAGCAATCGCTTTGCTGCCTTTTGCAGGGAACATCACATTGTCCATTCTTTTGGTATTCCTCATAACCCCACGGGACAGGCTATTGTGGAGCGCACCCATGCCACTCTCAAACAGTATTTTAAGAAAATAAAAAAGGGGGAGTATGTTACCTCCCCCAATATTCAGTTATCCACCATACTTTACATTTAAAATTTTTTGACCATAGACCGTAATAATTTGTCTGCTATGGAGAGACATTGGAACAAACCCTCCCAGTCCTTGGGATGGGTCAGATGGAAGGATTTGATCACAGGAAAATGGCAGCCACCCACTCCCCTACTAGCTAGGGTCCGAGGGGCTGTTTGTGTTTTCCCTCCAGGAAGTGAGAAGCCCATTTGGGTCCCCGAACGGTGCATCAGGCATGTCGACCCCAATACTACTCCGGATACTAGTAATGCTCACCATGATAAAGATAATCCAACCATTGCTGAACACTCAGGTAAGGGAAATATGGGCGTTGGTGAGGATTCCCCCCCATGTTAATGCCAGTTAGTCATTCCAGCTCCCTGTTCATCAAATTTTATAACACCAATAATACATTGGGAGCAGCTGCTGCCAATGAGATTAAAAAGTCAGAAACTAGACATTCTGAGTTTCCCCCTCCTAAGCCTGATACCAGGGTGAGGAAGTAGGGGAATCCAAGCGATTCCCAGCGGCATACGCCTTTAATCCCAACACACCTTTATGCAAGTTCCAGGACAGCCTCCAAACAATACAGAGAAACCCTGACTCAAAAAAAAAATTGGTAACAGTAAAGAGGTACTGGTACTAAGTAAAGAAAAAGAAAAAGACAAAGGTATATGGAATAGAAAATTTTGTTTACATTTAAGTTCTATTTTGTGAGTCATCTCTAAAAACTTTTGGCCAAAAACCTGGCCTCTCCACCTTGCATCTACAGAGTTACAAGGAGTAGGTACGGCTGTACCCCATGACTGTAGCTCAAATGGAGGAATGATAAAGAACATACAGGACTTTTTAACCCTTTTAGTTCAAGGATTGGCTGGAGTTGTTCTTTTACATAGATTTCAATTAAGGAAGCTTCATTGCAACAGACTAATCATGACCTAGGGAAAAAGGATGACTGAAAGATGCATATATGTTCTGAATGTATGGTGTGGCCACACCGGTATGTATGAAATGTGATTGTGAATGCGTGAGTGTGAACTGCTTATATGATTAAAAGGATACTTAAATCCCTTCAAAAATAGTTCAGAAGCTACCTAGATTGCTTTATATATAGCCAAAAGGAACATCCAGCCAGTCTGTTAATGTTTTAACAGAAAAATTTAAGATGCAAATGAGGCCTTGTCAGCTAGTGAGAGCTCTACAGGTTAGATTGGGAAAGACTGCTCACATACTTCAATAATTTTCAAAAGTTATTTGGACACAGTATAGTTTACAATCTTTGAGTGATTTTCAGAAGTTTTTGGGAAATATTTAATGGATATGTCCTTTTTAATGGGCATCTACAAATAATCTAAGTAGTAATCCCAATTTACCTAGATAGTCAACCAAGGAGGGTAGACAAATCCTTCTACTGTTATGGTCCAGCTTCAACAGTTCAAAAAAAATTTTTTAGAAAATATAAAAGGGGGAATAATGGCCCCAGTCCCCACATGACTCATCAAATAATACACTCCTCATTTAAAAATTTTATAATGTGAATGCCAGTGAGCTTCAGACAGATTCTGGCATGATGGAATTTGAGCAACCATTGCTCAGGTCAAATGGAGACATCCATGCACTAGACAGTGGAGAAGACCCTAATTTGGGGTCGAGGGCATGTTTGTGTTTTCTTGCAGGAAAAGAATAAAGCTTCGGCAACTGTCAGACCATTTAGTGAGATGCATGGAGCAGAGAAAAACTGGACCTGAGACCATGGGAGCCTACCTAAGCCAGTTTGAGTGAGATCTCCTAAATCAGTGTTCCTGACCCTTGATGTCATCGAATCTAGAGCCCAAGAAAGAAAGAAAACAGTCGGTTCGAGATTTCCAGTTTCTCAACAGACCTGCTGCATCAACCTTCCGGACCCATGAGTTTTCATCGTGAAGCCAACAAAGAAAAAAGGACCCATTTAAAGCATTTGGACATTGGTATGGGCTATGATGAGTGGCAAAAGCCCCTTTTCAGTATTTGAACAGGACATGGTCACTTGAAATATCAGACTTGATGGTTCCTGTTTCTGGAATCGTGCCTAGGCCAGTGTATTTTTCTGCAAAAATGCAACTTGTCCTAATGCGACAACTATTGTTCATATTTTTCATAATGCTACATGTGTAACATCAATGATTGTGCCCAATGTATCTGTGCAAGTGTACTTTCTAAATGCTTTCCTGAGCAGATCTTGAAACGATTGGAAACTTTATCAAATTGTAAATGTAAATCACGTGCAGGTTACCCTTGTAACAGACGAAGGCTGGTAGAATGTTATGGCTGAGATCTGGTGATGGGTATGGTGATGGAGAGGCACTATGTCAATGGGGGTCCTGGAAATGGTGGCAGTGGCGGTAGGCATTCTGGCTTTATGCTGAGCTCAAACGTGCCTTGTTCCAGAGGCAAGAGATCCGTAACCAAGTATTGCTTAGCTTAGCCCATGGCAATCCCGATAGCCATGAAGGTTGGTTACAGATGATTTAAGGTTGGGGTATCTCCGACGACGGGCAACCTGTGGGGAAGACCCCTCCCACCTAAAACAGGGGTTCAAGGTCCCCCAAAGAGGGGAAAGGGAGGGTGACCCTACTTGACCTAAGCCAGGAGTGCCTTATTTGAAAATTAAAAGGGGTGAATTGTGGGAACACCAGACCTTGAGCAGAGACCCACTTCCCCTTCTGCCTGGGAGTAGGCAGCTGTAAGACAATGTTTAGTAAAAACATGTTTACTAAAAACGATACAATAAGTTCCTGGGAAAGGCCTTCCCACGGAAACCGCCCTGACCTCGACCTTGTCCAAAGACTAACCGCACCTTCAAAAACCCACACACATCCACCTCTGGTGTCAGAGCAGAACCAGCCAGGGTAGAGGAGAGAGCAAAAGCTTCTCTGGTGGAAGCTTTTCTTAGGAGGTTTTCTTGAACCTTTTTGGGGCCTGCTTAAAGTTTTCTTTACATCGTTGAACAAGTCTCTGTGTTGTCAATCCCCGACACCCTCTGCACGTTCTCGGACACAGGCCGCGCAGCAGACGTGACAGTTCATAGTCAGCCATTGTTGCATTGTTGGATTAATTGGACCACAGTCTGTAAATCATTCTGATAAATTCCCATTCTATATATACTATAAGTTCTGCTGCTCTAGAGAGCCCTAATGCAGTTCTCTTAACTATATGCACTAGCAAGAGTGTGCAGAGAGAACTGAAGTAGGGCAAAGGTTGGCACTGTAGTTTAGGGTCATGAATGTATGTGGATGTATGTATATAGTTTGAGTGTTAAATGATCCAGTTTTTGGATGTTTTTTGAAGGTACTGTAGACATAATCTCTTGATCTTTTTCAGTTTTGTCTTTGAGACAGGGTGTCATGTAGTTCAGGCTGGCTTTAAACTCTGTGTAGCTGAAGATGTCCTTGGACTATGAATTCTCCTGCCTCTACACCCTGAGTGTTGTGATTATAGATGTGGGCCACCATTCCGGGTTTTACTGATGGGTTTGCTGTGGGATAAGTGAAACTTAATTTTATTATTCTATTATTAAATAAAACTTGGGAGTCAGATTTTGGGGTAAAAATCTGATAGATCCACAGAGTGATGGAGAAATGATCAGCTGATCCTACTGCTCCATGCTTCCCAGATCAAAAAGGCCCTCCAATCTTTTTAAGCCTCTCCCTATTCCTTTCTGTGTGTCCACCAAAAACTCTATGGTTAATTCTGGTTAGCTAATCTCTAACTCGGCCTGCCCCAATTCAAGGTCAACTTTATTGGCAGTCTTGGAGTGTCAGAAGGTGCTCAAAATACCCTACAACAGATGAGAAGTCAAAAATGCCTTCAAGAAAGAAGATGCAGGATTCAGGAAAAATGTCTCTGGGGAGAGCACAGGTTACAGATGCCTTTTAGACACCCAAGCTGTGGCATTAACTGGGTGCATGCAGCTGGGATTTTTAATAGTGAGGCCTGGGCTGGAGAGAAAGGCATGAGACTGAAGGTGAACCTTGGTTGTTAGCTTGGCGGGATTTAGGATTACCATGGAAACAGATTTCTGTGAGGGAGTTTCTATATTAGGTTAATTGAAATGGGAAGGCAAGCCTAGATGTAGATGGCACCATTCCACGGGTTGGGGGTCCTGGGCTAAATAAAAAGGAAAAAGCAAGCTGAGCAATTTGCATCATCTCTCCCTGTCCTGACTGCAGGTGCAGTAGAACCTGCTGCCCGCGATGCTGCCATGACTTCCCTGCAGCAGAAAGACACGTCATACAGAGAGCTAATTGGGTGAGCGTGGACAGAGAGAAAGTGAGGGCCTGGCCAGAGCCTTGGACATGCTAATAATGACAGACAGAAGAGGGAGAGCCAGGAAGGAGACTGAAAAGGGAGCAGGAAGCTGCTCCAAAGAGTCATTCCGTAGACATTGACTTATGTAAATGCTTCAAGGAAGGAGATGATTTGCTGTGTCCAGTGCTGGAGAAAGGCCCAATAAGGTGATGGTTGAGAAATGACTAAGGGATTTAGTAAAGGGGAAGTCAGGGATGAGGTTGACAAGGGCCAGTGTTAGGAGAGAGGTACAGCCACTGGAGGGTGGACAGCAGGGAAGTGGTCACTTTTTGCACAGAAGAAATGAAGATCTGTTGGCTGTAGTGAGAATGCTTCAAAGAAGAGAGAAGAAATCTAGGAGAAAACCAGGAGGACACTGAGACATACAGAGAGAGCCTGTGTGTGCTGGGTATGGAGGCACTTGCCTTTAATCCAGTACTTGGGAGGCAGAGGCAGGAGGCCTCTGTTCCAGGCCAGCCAAAGCTAAACAGGAAACCCTGTCTTGAAAAACCAGCCCCCCAAAAGAAGCCTAGCCCCCCAACTTATCCTTTGACAGTTTCACAATGCATACAACGTACTGCAACCATTTACACTTCCTAGTCTCCCCTCCCTGCCCATCCTCCCTCCCCCTCCCAACGTCTTGTCCTCCTCTTCTTTCTTTCTTTCCAAGCCACTGAGTCCAGTGCGTGCTGTCTTCACACGCATGGGAGTGGGGCCATCTACTGGAGCATGGGTGGCCTACCAGGAACCACACCCCTGAAAAAACTGACTCTCACTTCCCTAGCAGTCATCAATTGTCGATAAGCTCCTCCCCATCCACGCTGGAAAGTGGCTTGGCTTGATTTCGTGCTGTTAAAATATCTTTGAGAAAATGGGAGCCTTTGGGATTTGGAGCGGAAGTGTAGGAGCTGGGACGGGGTTACGATTAATCCATGGATGCAGGAAATGTGTATGTGTGTGTGATGAACACGTCATGTTTCCTAATCTCCATGGTATTCTTGATGAAGTACGAAGCAAAGTCAGGAGTGAGGACAAAAAAGCAAGTTTGATGAAAGTTTGATGATGGTGAAGGGAAAGGGAAAGACGTTTGAAACCAGGTTGTGAAGTTGGTGCCTTCCTGGCAGTTTTGCCCGGCAGGTTAGTCTCCCCCTGCTCTCCACAGTTGCGTTTCCTTGGAGACCAGACGTTAGCGAAAGCGCCTGGTCTCCTTGGGATCCATTCTGAGACGCGAAGTAACAGAAGCTTCACGGACTTCTGGAGACGGTCTGTGCCTGGAAGATCAGGACTCTTCTCTTTTCCCCAATGGCACAGAAGTAAGCAGAGAGCGCAGCGGGGTGGCAGAGCACGCATGCGTGGGCTTCATCGCGCAGCCTTTGCTCTCCAGGCTCCAGCTCGCTGGTTGCTTGGTCAAGAGGGTCTTCAGGATCCCTCCTTGGGCCGGGGTTGATGGAAGTTCTCCCACCCACTCCCTTCTCTTTCCAGACACACCCCCTCTAGGACTCATTTCTCAGGGCGCAAGTCGCAAGTACTGGTGAGTACCGGAAGGGCAGCAAGGACTGGTGTGGGTGGAGGTCTCTGTGACCCCTGTGTTCTACCTGCTATCAACTCCCATGGTCGTGATAACAGCGTGATAGACTCTGGGCCTGGGTTTCAAGCCTAGGAGAGGCACTGGAGCAAGCCTCGGAGCCTCATTTAATGCCATTCCTTACCTGACCATAGGGGTGAGTCAAGCTGCTCACTGATGTCATTGCCACCCCACTTGCTAGAGGGTGGGTCTTGGGGTTTTCCTCTGTTTCTTCAGATTCTTAGCACCTCATGGCCTACATGTCCTTGCTGAGTTCTGGCTACCTGACACAACAAATGCCTTGCAAATACGTCTCACAACTCAAGGCCTTAGGCTGTGTTGTTAGGTTCACTTTATGAACGAGAAAATCGAGGTTTAGAACTCAGGTCACTTGCTCTAGGATACAGATACCCTGAAAGGGCAAGCTGGAGTTGAACCCTTGGATCCTGGGGCTGACTGTGTTTCTGTGTTACATGTTCCCTAACAGTGGTCAGAGAAGAACCCGAAGCCATTCACTCTGCCTCCCCTCCAACAAGCCAAAGGCCACAGCAGAAGCAAAATGAAGACTCCGTCTAGTATCCAGCCAGGTGGGCAGAGGCTCTTGGGAGCTATGGTGGGTGTTGGGGACAAGTCAGAGTAGCTACTTTTAGCCCTTGACACCGTTCATATTAGGCTAACTAATGTGACAAATAGCCTTCAATTTTCAGGTACTGATACGGAAGTTCATTTCTTAGGAATGTATTTGTAGATGTGTGGGGAGGAGCTGGTTGGTCTGTTCCATACAGTGATTCAGGGGTCTAGCCTCCTTTAGCATCATGGGTCTAATGTTCTGTAAGCCCTTAAGGACCTCTGCTGGCAGAGAGGGTAGAGAGAGCAAGAACAAGGGGACCTAGACCTGAAGTGACACATATCATTTGTACTCCTTCCAAGCTTGCAATTTTCATCACATGACCATGTCTGCTTGGGAAGCTGGGAAATGTCTGGCTCTGTGTTCAGGAGGGGAACAGTTTGGGGAATTAATAGACTCCATCACAGCATTGTTAACCTTCCCAAGGAAATTATGAGGTCTTGGCTCAGGCAAACATGGGTTTGCATCCTGGCAATGCTATTTACTCATTTAGAAGAGTCTTTCATCTTTCTGAGCCTTAGTCATCTTAACTGTGAAAAAGGATTGTGTGGGCTAGGCATGGTGGGTACACACAGATAATCCCTCCAGCATTCAGGAGGAGGAGGCAGTAGATCATGAGTTCAAGGATAGCCTGAACTGAATTGTGTTGTGTAGCAATTTCCTGCTAACAGAAACACACCCTGCCCTGTGGACCCCATGGAGGGAGAAGTAAAGGAAACCTAGAGGACTCAGGAGGTAAAGGAAAGCTATAAGGCTCAGGACATTCCTTAAATAAAGAGTTGCAAGATCCCTCCTCTATTCTTATGAATAGTTACAGCTATCTAGAGAGCTATGGCAGAGTGCTTGCAAACAGGGAGCTCCAGGAAGGCAGTTTTCATGAACTTTCACCCATGTTTGGGTGGGCTTTGGGGGATGCATCTGCCTATGAGCTATCTATGCCATCTGTGATCTTCTAAGTCATCCTTAACTCATACTCCTTCAAGTAACCCTGGTGAAAACTGGCTCCAGTGGCCAGACTCAGGTGGAACAATGTATCTGGTCTGTTGTTGGTGCCCTGTCTAAATGTTCATACCTCCCCAGGAAAAGCCATACTGCATCCTATCTCCCCACCCAGGAACTTCTTATATATATGAGAGACAGGAAGGTCTCAGTATGTAGGACAAGTTGGCCTCAAACTCCTAGAAATCCCCCTCCCTCTGACATGAAGTTGGATACCCTGGAACTAGAGCTACAGACTGTTGTGAGCTGCCATGTAGGTGCTGGGAATTAAACTCAGGTCCTCTGGAAGAGCAACCAGTATTCTTAATTTCTGAGCCATCTCTCCAGCCTCCTTAAAATTGTTATTATTTTTTTGTTTTTGTTTTTCTGAGACAGGGTTTCTCTGCCTTTGGAGCCTGTCCTGGAACCTGTTCTGGAGACCAGGCTGGCCTCGAACTCACAGAGATCTATCTGCCTGCCTCTGCCTCCTGAGTGCTGGGTTCAAAAGTGTGCACCACCACCACCTGGCTACTTCTATTCTTTTTTTTTTTAAAGATTATTATAATGTTTTTGTGTGTGAATGTATAAGGTCTGGGTTCAGGTGAGAGGCTGTGCTCAACATAATAATGTGAAGAGCTAATGAGGATAGCATTTGTGGCCAACCTCTGCCTCCACATGCACGCTTACGCACATGCACTTGCACACACACCTGTTCTAACACGTGAAAACACATATGTACATACAAAAAAAAAAAAGAAAACCCAACAAGGTACAAACAAAAAAATAATACTTCTGTATATCTTAACACCAGGTTTCTACCTGTGGGTAATCTTACATTCTTTTTTTTTTGTTTTTGATTTTACAAGACAGGGTTTCTCTGTATTGTTTTGGAGGCTGTCGGTCCAGCCTGGCCTCGAACTCACAGAGATCCGCCTGCCTCTGCCTCCCGAGTGCTGAGATTAAAGGCGTGCGCCACCACCGCCTGACAATCTTACATTCTTAAAGTCCCAATAGTTTAGCACCTGCCTGTGATCGATCCCAACACTTGAGAGGCTGAAGCAGGGGGATTAGGAGAAAGCCTCTATAGCTACATAGCTAGTCCAGGACCAGCCTGACCTACATGGGACCCTGTCTCAAAACTAATCCATCCTGTAGTTAGCATTTAGTAGTAAGAGTAACTTGTCATTTCAGCACTTAATATTAAAATTTCCCAGAGTTAAGGATCTTGATCCGTTAGACACTGAGTATGGTTCTCAAGTGTACACTTGTACTCGGAGTAGGGATGTTGGTGGAGACTGAGGCTGGAGACAAGCAGCTGAGTGGTGGTTCTGTGTTGGTGTAGAACTGTCTGAAAGGAAGCAGGGCTTCTCCTCTCACCCATGCCTCCTCCCTCCCTCCCTTCCCTTACAGCCCAGGCTGTCATCCTCCTGCCTCCACCTCCTGAGTGCTGGGAGTACAGGCTGGAGCCACCATGCCCAGTTGATACAGTATTAAGGATTAAACTCAGGGCTTTGTGCATGCTGGGCCAGCACGGTGCCTGCTGAGCTGTATCCCATCCTAAGCATCTGCTCTGTAAGAGCCTTTACTCTGTCTGACTGCCACGGACGGTGTTGCAGAGATGGCTGGGTGGAGTTCTGCCTAGCTGCTATGATCACTAGATGTGATAGTAGCTAGGAGCAAGGAGCCAGCCCTGAAGATGTGGCAGGTTCTGTGTTAAACACCTTAGGCCATGGTGACGTCTCATCCAATCTTCATGACCCACCTATGGGACAGGCGTGACTGTTCTCATCTTATAGGAGGACTGAGGGACTGGAAACCATGTGGCCTTCCAGGTGACAGAGCTGCTAGAAAGTCCTTCCTGCGGGCTGGAGAGATGGCTCAGCAGTTAAGAGCACTGACTGTTCTTCCTGAGGTCCTGAGTTCAATTCCCAGCAACCACATGGTGGCTTACAACCACCTTGAATGAGATCTGGTACCCTCTGCTGGCCTGTAGGCAGAAAGCTGTATACACAATAAATAAATAAAATTAAAAAAAAAGAATGTCCTTCCTGCCTCAATTGACCTTTCTCCCAGCCTGGTGGGGAGAGCAGGGATTTGGGTTTGTAGGACATGCTGCCCCCCCCCACTTGCTGCCCCTTTCTGTGTCAGGGGCTGGAAGAACACAGAAGGGGTAGGCTCTTTATTTTATTTCTTGAGACAGGGTCTCTGTATGTAGTCCTGGCTGGCCTCTAATTCACAAGAAAGCCTCCTGTCTCTGCCTCCTAAGTGTTAAAGGCATGCGCCACCATGCCTGACTGTGGTGGGGATGATGGTGGTGGTAGTTCTTGATTTTTGGCTGGTTGACAGTGGGGTTGGCCTGGTTTACCTCAGTGTCTCCCTTAAGTTCACCTTCCAGGGAATAGGTTGACCCTGAAGAGAAACTGAAGCTTACACTCTGGGGGAGGGGTCCTGCCCCTGACTAGCTCTGCTTTTGCTAGCCATCCCCCAGTCATCCCCATATCACTGCATTCTCCTGGATCTCCTCCCCCACCCCTCCCCCCAAAGCAAGGCCCATGGTAGAGCTGGGGTTTCTTTGTGGACAGCAGTTTTATCCTTTTTTGTGTCACAGGGTAAATCTGTAAATGAGTGGGTTCTGGGGCCTGATCCCAGGCCTGTATGCACCCTCATCCTCTCTCCACCTTTCCCCATCTGTCCTCAGCGGTGCAGTCCCAGACCTCTGTAGAGATGGCAAATGTAGACAAGAATCTACGAGGACTGCAAAAAAGGGATCAATTGCACCATGGGAAGATGCAGGCCAAGGTTCGGCTGATGCGGGTAAGAGAGGCCCAGAGCAGAGACAGTGAATAGTTCCTCACACTGCGTAGCACCGTCAGTTTCCTCCTTACGGCAAGCCGTGCGCACACTTAACTTTTCTCGTTTTACAGGTGGGAAACAAATGGCTTGTACTAGGTCATGCAGCCAGAAAACAGTGGCACGGGGGCCAAAGCAGCTAAGATTGGGCTGTTCTGCTTAGACTGAAAGAATTCGACTGGTTCTCCGGATTAAAAATGTAACCAGTGGCTTGTCTTATTGCTGGCAGTACACAGAGCCCTGTCCATTTGGGAGTGGTCCTTGGAAAGGGTTCTTCTAGAACCTTCACATCAACTGATACCATTGTAGCTAACTCATCTTCCCGCCTCCCCAGGCCAGGGCTCACTGGGTAACCCAGCTGTCCTTAAACTCAAAATTCTCCTGCCTCTGCCTCCAGCGTGATGGGACACAGGTGTGTGTTACCATGCCCACTGTTGTTATACATTGTTTTACAGCTTCGGTAATCACTTGAACCATATTTTATTATTATGAAAGTTATTATTATTATTTTTGTTTTTCAAGATAGGGTTTCTCTGTGTAACATCTCTGGCTGTCTAGGAACTCACTCCGTAGACCAGGCTGGCCTCAAACTCACAGAGATCCGCCTGTCTCTACCTCCTGAGTGCTGGGATTAAAGGAATGTGCTACCACAACGCGGCTTGATCATATTTTAAAGTTTTTTTCTTTTAAAAGATTAGTCTCATGTAGCCTAGCTTGTTAGCTTGCTCACTATGTAGTAGAGGGTGACCTTGAACATAGTTCCAGGCCAGTAAGGGTTAAATTGTGAGACTCTGTCTCAAAAGTAAAAGCAAAAACCTGTGTTTTTCCCTTCAGCCATCATTTTGCCAGATGGTTTCAACGGGTCGATCATTCGCAGGAAGGTCTGTTTCTGATGTTCTTTTTATCCCGGCTGTAGGAGAGCTTGTGTGTCCTTGTGTGACACACAGTGTGGACATGGCCACCCTTGCAGTAAGCTCAGCAGTTCTTCATGCAGTCTTTTGTACGCATTCATTCATCTGGTCAGCGGGTCCTGACTGAACACCTGCTGTATTCCGAGAGTCGCCAGGGCTGGGCTCTGGCCTTGGGCAGACAGACAATTACACACACACATATAAAATGTGAAGTGTAAGCCATAGGACATGGCAGTTCATTCCCAGATTTTCATTCTACCAGAAATTTGAGCTCAGTTCCTGGGGACTTGGGAGTGGTTTTTTTTAACCTCCAACACAGTTTTGTACTTTGGGGTCTTGGGATGTGGAGAAAAAGTGGAGAGGTTAGCAGTCATGGACAGTAGCTCTGCTGTGTGTGACCTTGGGTAGACGTGGAATCTGAACTTCTATGAAGTGAGACTAATTAGTGCATGTCTCCTAGGCTTGCTATCAGGTAACGCGAGTACAGGACATAACACTGGCACATGGCAGCCACACTGTACTTGCACTGGTATTGTTATCTGGTACAGCATACAGGAGCTGAGGGCCAGGGCAGATGGTGAAATCAGATGACCATAAAGAACAGAAGAGAGCGCACAGACAGGATGGGAACGGGAGCAGGGTGGGGCACTGGAGCTAAATAATCGAGTTCTAGCTGTTTGCTGTGCACACGTTGAGCTTGCCCACATTGCCCCAGTGGCTGTGGTGGAGGCTTTATTTCATTTCTAAATGGCAGTTCTCTGAAGCAGCAATTAGTTATTAGCTGCTTAGATCATACCAATGAGTTATCTGAGGTCAATTAACTTCTCCAGGTCCCTCACCCCTCATGGCAAGTGGCAGATCTGTGACAGCCTAGTCCTACTCATACTGTGAGCCAGCATCTCATAGCGGCTGCTGCTGCTGCTTCTGCTGCTGCTTCTGCTGCTGCTTCTCCTCCTCCTCCTCCCCTTCCTCCTCCCCCCTCCCTCCCTTTCATTTTGGTTTTTTGAGATAGGGTTTCTCTGTGTAGCCTTGACTGTCCTAAAACTCACTCTGTAGATTAAACTGGCCTCGAACTCGCAGAGATCGGCCTGCCTCGGCCTCTCTGGTGCTGGGATTAAAGGCGTGCGCCACCACTGACTGTCTTTCTTTTCTGAGACAGGGTATTTCTACATTACTCACACTGGTTGGCCACATGGTCCTCTTGCTTCAGCCTGTGCTGGTGTGACATGCCTGTCCTACCACGCACTGGGCTCCTTGCAGCACGAATCCCGCTGAGTTCTTGAGGTAGGATAATGGACAGACTTTGAGACTCTGAAGTCTGGCTTCTCTGTCTCAGCACTATCAGTTCCGGGCTGTGTGACCGTGTCATTTAACCTCCCTGAGCCACCACTTGTGAGCTGGAGGATGAAGGGACTCCATGTGTCATCTGTCATAGAACTTGGCTGCCCTCATGTCTAGTAGGCTAACTGTTATTAAAATTGTTATTAACTGTTGACACTATTGATCTTACGTACTGCTGGGTGTAACCTTGGGCAAATCACTTACCCCTTCAGACTCACTTTCCACAGGGGCATTGTATGATAAGAAAATGTGGGTGTTTTCTCTCCTCCACCCTTCCTTGCTTCTGGTCCAAACATAGCCTGTCATCTCTGCCACCTTCTTACCTAACTGGGCCATTATCATGTTCATTCTTTCTAGTTTTCATTGGTTTGGAGAGGTCTTTAGTATCCTTACGTACTAATGTTTGGTAATTAGATGGTGATAAGCCACCAACTGTGGGATGAATTCTCTGTGACAATGGGTTATACATGCACTGGTGTGTGTGTGTGTGTGTGTGTGTGTGTGTGTGTGTGTGTGTGTGTGTGTGTTGCTTAGTGGGTGTCTCCATTTCCAGGCACTCTGACCTTACGGGCTGGGGAACCACCTGGCAGCATTTACTACAGGAGGCCTTGGGGCAGGAGGGTTCTCAGCCCCTCCCCATCCCTGCTTGCAAATTAGGGCACATATACAGTGCTACCTTCCTCCCCACCCACAGCTGATGCTTCGAAACCAGCGGACCTCACTGCAGGAGCTCTCCAGCCACGAGGAATTCCTCAGCAAGCTCAACCAGGAGCTCATCAATTCCATTCAGGACATGGAGGACAGCATGGCCTTGAATGTTCGGGAAATGCTGCAGCAGCAGGGCATTCTCCGGGTGAGCCTCCTCTTCCCCTCTTCTAGCCTCCTTCCTGTGCGAGCGCGCCCCCTGCTGGTTACTCCTGACCCCGGGGGGGGGGGGATGCAGTGCCTCCCTTCATCCCCACTTACCAGCTGGGAGAGTTCTGGCTAACTTTGTGTCTTGGAGCTTGGTGGAGTGGATCACAATAACACAACCTCAAATGGGAGGTTGTGGCTATCACTCCTGGCATTTGTACAATGGAAAGTATTTGGTGCTGCCATTACCATTACCACTGCTGACCAGGTGTCCACAGTGAGATGTCAAATGCTCATATACGCCTCACAACAGCTTGACAGGGTGGGTGCTATTCTTGTCCTCTTTTTACAGGAAAGAAATGGAAAGCACAAGGCTGTGGGATTTAACTTGCTCCAGGCCATCCAGATAGCAAGAACCAGAGCCAGGATTTAACTCCAGGCAGTCTTACCCCAGGATCTGTGTCTCTCTTGCCCTGCTACCATTGTCTTTTAGGGAGTACAGTTGATTGGGTCCACTGATAGTTTGCAGGGGGGCGGGAGGAGAGGAGCAACTATCGTACTGTCTGGAGCCCACGCTGCAATAATGAAACTCGGTGGTGACGAGTAGGGTCTGGGGATGAAGAGTGCCTTGGCAATCACCCTCCCTGTGCTGGGGTGACAGGGTAGGAGGTCACAGGGACTGAGAGTCAGAGAGTGGATGAATGATTTCTCTATGACTTCTGCCCAGAGCTGACCTGGAGTCTGTGAGGTGGGGGTGGATTAATCTCTCAGGCTGCTGTGGGAAGATACTGGGGTAGGGAACTTCCATAGCAGTAGAGGCTGGAAGTTCAAGGTCAAGGGGTCAGTAGGGCTGGCTTCTCTTGTAGCCTTTCTTCCTGTTCTGCAGATGGCCATCTTATTATTATTATTATTATTATTATTATTATTATTATTATTTTGGTTTTACAAGACAAGGTTTCTCTGTATTGTTTTGGAGGCTGTCGGTCCAGCCTGGCCTCGAACTCACAGAGATCTGCCTGCCTCTGCCTCCTGAGTGCTGGGATTAAAGGCAAGTGCCACTGCCGCCTGGCTCAGATGGCCATCTTCTTATGATGTCCACATATGTGTGGAGAGAGTGCTGCTGTCTTGTGGGGACACTCTGGTCCTCTCTGATGAGGGCCTGTCCTTGTGACTCCAATCATTATTTACTTCTCTCAGGGTCCTGTCTCCAAGAGCAGTTACACCTAAGAAGCTTTGGTAAATACAGTCCAATTTCAACAGAGACCAAAGCCACACAGTTCTTCAGCCCAAGCAAACTTCTTGTTCATACCACACACACACACACACACACACACACACACACACACACACACACACCTTGCATGTGGAGGCCAGAAAGTGGTGTTTCTCAGGAGCTGTCCATCTTTATTGAGACAGGGTCTCTTCCTGGGATCTGAGACTTGTGCATTAGGCTCGGCTGGCTGGCTAGCATGCCTCAGGGAATCTGCCTGTCTCTGTAGCCCCAGTACTGGGGCAATAAACCCACATCATCACATATGGCTTTTTACTGTGGGTACTGGGGAGTGAAGCCAGTTGACCCATACCTTTAGTTCCTTGGACCATCTTGGGTGTACCTATGGACCCTGGGGAGGGTCACAGGCAGTTGCAGTTAGCATTGGGTATGTGATGTTCTGGAGGTGAGGTGACTTGGGGAGTCTCAAGGGGACCTCTGCCTCAGACATTGGAGCATCAGGAAGACTTCCTGGGGAAAGCCATACTTGAGCTAAAGTCTGCAGAAGTGTGGACTGGTGGCGCTTGGATGAACCAAGCGTTCCAGGCAGAGGAAGTAGATGCCCCAGACATGGGGCGAGGAGCATAAGGAGCTACAGTTGGTTGGCTGAGTGAGTGAGGGATACAGCAAAGATGAGTTTGCCCCACGTCAGATCATGGAGGGTTTTTCCAGCCATGGCAAGGAGTCCATTGAGGACTGGAGTGGGAGGTAATGGCTCTCCAGCCTCTCGTCAGGTTGCTGGCCTGGGCGTGGGGTTGTGGAAGTGCTCTGTGGCCACAGCCCACTGTGAGCCGAGAGCCAGCAGAGGCTGGTGGTCAGCTGACCTCACCCCTTCCCTAGAATGTCATCGACATCTTGGAGTACTCGAACAAGAAGCGGGTGCAGCAGCTGAGGTCTGAGCTCCAGGAGTGGAAAGAAAAGGAGGAGAGCAAAATAAACAGTAAGGGGTGACTCCCCCCACAGCCTCACCCAGGAGCTTCTGGGGGAGGGCAACTGCATGCACTGCCTTTCTGACTACCAGGCCCATGCTACCTTCTAGGGAGAGCACATTGCTGAGATCTAGAGCGAACAGCTTACAAAGGATGAAGCGTGCACAGCGTGTTCCAGGCCTGGGTGTTCCTACATCTGTGGTGGCACACTCACTGTGACCTCCTGGATGCAGGGACTTTTGTCACACTTTACCTGCCAAGGAGATGACCGAAGCAGGAGAGGAAGTACCTGCTGCAGGCCGTGTGCCTAGGATTTGGAATCCAGGCCTAGCCTGGCTAAGCTTCCTATTGAGGTCCCTCTGGGAGGCAGTGGCTGGGAACCAGGTCTGGCTTCCATTGCTCTGGGTCTACGTTTTTTCCTCCCTCCCTGAGAGGCTAGATGCCGAGGAGGTGTGTCAGGGGGCTTGTGCCAGGCAGTCTGAGACACTGGGGAATCCCCTCCATGGAGGAAGGCAGGATAGACATTCTTGTATTTTTTATTTTTTGTTTTAGGAGATTTAGTCATACTTTATTTTACGCGTTTCAATTTGTAGGGCAGACATAATTCTTCAGGTCAAGGGAACCCTCACATGATTACAGTCACAAATTGGCACACTATATTAAAAAATAAAACCAAACGGAGACAAAATATGAAGTGCGATGCCAACTCAGACCCAGCGTGCACTGCTCTTCATATGAGATCGTGGAACTCTCTGCTGTGAGCTTACCAAAATAGAGCCAGAGCTCAGAGGTCACAAACGGTGGCTTACAAAATAAAGCCTCTTTTCCAAGAGCTACTTGTTTTATAGAAAAATATTGCAAACAAAATTAGAGCTATCTGAGATGTTTATTATCATATTGTGTGTGGTGCACTGGTTCATACCAACCTCTTAGGACACAGTGTCTGGTGGATGGAACCTGCATTTCTGGTCAGGTGCACTGTGACCCCGCTTCCAGCTCAGGGTGAAACACAGCTCAGCCCTGCTGACTGACCAGAAGTCACAAAATCTGAACATTCCCAGCCATTGGGTACTCTCATAATTTGTTCCTAGTCTGAGACATAGAAAAACTGCTCGGGAAACATGACATAATTTGCATTTCTTCCTGAAGGAAGAAAATGTGTAGAGATCTGTAAACTAAAACATATTTTTTTAAAAATAGAAAGCAATAGCTAATTCATTTTCAGAGCTGGAATTTTACTCAGAGATGATTCAAATTTTAATTTTGTTTTTTGAGACAGGATCTCACTATGCAAGCCCAGGGGTCCAAGCTGGTCTGAAACTCTCTATGTAGCCCAGATTAACCTAGGACTTACTGTAATTCTCCTGCCTCAACCCCCTGAGTGCTAAGCTATCACACCCGGCTTTGAATTCTCATGTTTTCCTGAAGGGTTGGAGGCTTAAGTAAACAGAGATGTGGCAGAGCGATGCCCATGTATTCCGATCCCCTGATTTCCCTTTGTGATTATGCAAATTTTAAAGAAAAGGGATCTTACAAGCTGTGTACAGCAGCTTACACCTCAGTTTCTTTTGTCACTTGATGAGTGGCTGAAATGAATTCATGTCGTATGTTGGTCATGGAAACCCCGTGTAAGCAATGGAAGCTTCATTTGAAGGCCGAGGTCTTGAGCAGGATCATGATTCTGGACTCTGCTTCCTGGATGCGCAGGACCGTGTAGTACTCCAGTTCCTCCCAGCCATGCTTGTACCATGCTGCATTCCAGACGTCTTCCCTGGTCTGAAGGTCGTTGTAAGCCCAAAGATGATGCACCATGTATAGCTGCCCAATTTGAGGGAAATCCCCCAGCTGCCTCGTTACTGTCCTGTGTAAAGCCAGTGGCATGGGCCCAGTAATTGCCCCATTCAATCATTGTTCCTGTTCAGGGTTGGTAGGACCTGTGTTCGTATATGTTGGGTCCTGATCTCGGCACCAGCTCATTCCAGAAACTGAACTCCAACAGCAGCTGGTTCCTCCTGGAGAGAAGCTTGTCGCTTCTGGCTTCACGGAAATCTACAAATTCCTGGTTTTCTTTGAGTTTATCCATGACCTCCATGAGGGCTGGGTAGCCTCCTTCTACCTCCAGAGGTGGACGGCTTGATCCTGCTTGCCATACCACATGTTCCATGTCCCCACCAAGGTACAAGGGTACCACTTGCCTTCTTGGATCTTTGGCAACACTTCTTGGAAAATTTTGTTGTATGCGTCTAGACATTCTGGCTTAACGTTGTGAAACCATAACTTGTACAGACTGATCATCTCCTTCTTGACCAGGGATCCACTTTTCGGACAAATAAGGACTTGAACCAGCTGTCTTCCCGAGATCTGTGACTTGAGGATGTCACTCTCCAGAGCCCAGACAGGAAGCTACCAAGGGTGGCTGGCTGCGGCAGGCCTCCTTGCGTGAGCAGCACTCATGCTGTGCTGACATCTTTGCTCTGGAGCCTCGACATTGTCTTTTATTCATTTACTTTTTTGAGGCAGGGTCTCACTCTGTAGCTCAACCTGGCTTGGAACTCACTTTGTAGCCCAGGCTGGCCTTGAATTCTCAGCAGTCCACTCTCCTTAGCCTCTCTGGTACTGGGATTACAGGTATGAGCCATCCTGGCCACTACATTTTGTCTTAATCCCGTTGTGGGCACCATTGCCACCCTGTCTCTCTGGTCATGCTTCCTTGGGGGCATGTATCTGAGGAAGCTGAGATCAGTTAGGGGTAGTCGGTGAGGACCACTCAGCAGTCAGCAGAGCTGGACTGGTTTCATTTCTCTTTTCTGGGGCCTAGACCCTAGCAGCTTCATCTCCTACCACCTCCTGCCTCGTGTAGGCACACCTCAACCCAGATCCTGGTCCACTGGCCAAGGGCAGCTGGGTTTCAGGGGTCTCCTGGGAAGGCCCTCTAAAGGAAGGCCCAGACATCTGTGTCCCCCCAGTCTTTAACTGCCCTTCCTTTCCTCGTGCTGTCCCTCCCCAGGCCTGCAGCAGGAGTTGGAGCAGCTGAACGCTGAGATCCAGAAGGCCCACGAGGAGGTGAGTTTCCTGAGCACCTACATGGACCACGAGTATCCTGTCAGGTTGGTACAGATCGCCAATCACAAACGCCAGGTGCAGCAGGCCAAGGACAGCCAGCAGGTAAGGGAGCCCCTGGCCCTCATACCTAGACTGCACAGAAGGTGAGGGTGTTGGCTAAGCCCTTCTGCCGACCCCCAGGATGAGCTGGACAACCTCAAAGAGATGCGTCAAATGGTCCTGGGGAAATTTTCCAACATGATTCAGGAGAAGAAGAAGAAAATCCTGAGATCTCTGATGGCGGTGAGTAGTCAGTCGCTGTGGGGTTTCTCCAGGTTCTGGCCTGGCTCTCCTAGCTTCCCTGTCCTCTGCCTCTGGCATCCCTGTCATCCACCTATGTGCTCCTGCCTTGTGTACCCAGAGACAGACTCCTCCTTCATCCACAGAAAATCCAGAAACCCTATGAGAAGATACTCATGCTGAAGACCCAGGACAGCAAGCGTCTGCAGAGGTGCACGGTCTGGTTCAGGGAGGTGAGGGCGCCAGGAAGGCCATGGCCTTTGCGAGGGACCTGCAGGCGGGCCTTGGCTCACACAGACCTGTTCCAGTGCTGGCCTTCTTCCTTGACTGCACCATTGCTGTCACTCATCATTCATCTCAGAGGATTCATGATGGCTTGGACCTTGACTCACTGGTCACCATTGTAGGCCATCACATGTCACCTTAGCACCATCACATGTCACCTACCCTACACTAGCCACTTCTCTTCATCCTTTGGCCCATGATCAGAGTTAGGGAACGAGGCCCCACCCTCTCTGGTGGGAGTGTCCATCATCCTGGCACCATTATCAGTTTTCAACTCAAGGTCCCTTTTTTACACATTGTGTGTCCCACCCATTTGTCACCTGTCTCCATTCTTCACTGTCCCTTCACCTTACTTGAAAGGCCCACTCCTGTTTCTAAACAAGGAGGTTGCCTCTCTGTAGTCCAGCACATCTTGGTGACGAGGCCCATACCGTCTCCCAGACACGCTCCTTCTGTGGTATTGTCCCATCTCCCAAGCTTAGACTTCACACTTCCTCTCTGTAGTCCAGCACATCTTGGTGACGAGGCCCATACCGTCTCCCAGACACGCTCCTTCTGTGGTATTGTCCCATCTCCCAAGCTTGGACTTCACACTTCCTTCTTTCTGTGTTTTCCTGCTCAGCTTATCCAGCAGCTGAAGGAAGAAATACCTGTGTTACTTGCGGAGGTGGAGCAAATGTACGCAGAGGTCTGGGACCCCCGGGAGGTCGTTTTTAAGGATATTCTACTTCAGAGACCCAAGTACGTAGTCCTGACTGCCACGCTGGGTTGAGCAGGCCTGTTCCTAGGAAAGGCAGTCTGGGCAGGTGGCAAGAGCCTAGGCATGGAAGGGGAGGAGGCCTGGGCAAGCGTCCATGCTGTCGCCAGCCTAGACACAGCTTTCCCTGCCCATCTCTGGTATAGCTGATGGTAAGTTCCAGGGAAGACTGGGGGACAAGAATGGAAGGACATCTTTTCTGCTTGACAGGCTTCTGTGCTCCAAAGGAAAATGTCTTTTCTTCCAAAATTAACCGTTGACCTGCTTTCCCTGGGATTAGGCTCTATTGTGGGTCTGGATGGTAGATTGGGAACAGGTTAGACCTCTTCATGATGCCACCACAGGACCTTGTGTGGTGGCAGAGCCCAGGCTTGCAAATTATATAAATTTCCCCTTTTGTCTCCCTGTCTCCTCTCAGGCTTTTCCTTATGCCATATCCCCACCCCCACTTTGTATTTTGAGACTGAGTCTCTCTTTGTAGATTATGCTGGGTTCAAATATGATTCTCATGTTCAAGCTTCCCGAATGCTGGGGTTACCATGTATTTAGAGAATTTTCTCCAGGAGAAATCTACCATGTAAGGTTCTAATGACAAACCAAAGCTTTATTCCACCAAGGTTCCTCCTGGGAAACCAATGAGTTTATTGGGTTTACTTAAAGAGTCTGGGTCACCGGGGTCACTGACAGAAGTATGTGTGAACTCAAAGCAGCCTTACTGGGAAGCCTGCTTCCAGAATGGGTGATGGCTCCCCCTGACTGTGTGGGTGGAGCCCTCTTACACTATTCTCTCTCACTATAAACTTTAGCCTCTCCCTGAGACTCTGAGGCCACATGCCTGGTTGGGAGCAGTGGTTAGATGCTCAGCCGAGGGCTCCGTGACCCTCCCACCTGCCTCCTTCTGTGAGGGGATGTCATCAATCGACAGAGTGAGCTGTGATGATGTTTTGCAGTGGGGCACAGCCAAATGTATGAAGATGGTGGCCGCTTGGCTTAAAGGACAGTCTGTACAACACCATGCTGGCTCTTCTTGCTGGCTGACCGTCTCTGTCATCTTTTGCCATCTCCCTTCTTCCTTCCTGTTGTTCTCTTCAGCAATGCTTTTGAGTTTATGACATGCCAAGGAGCCTATGAATGAGAGGAACCCTCGGCTCTGCCACCACAGAGCCGAGAGGGGGACAAGGCATTAGGAGGCCCTGAGCTCTGAACATGTGGCTGCAGAGAGCTCCATGAGCCTGGACGAGCTTGTCGCAGGGCAATGAACTGGGGCAGTCAAGGAAGGACTCTCCCTGAAGATGTGACATTGACATGGGCTCCTGCTCCCCTCTCATCTTGGTCCTTTTTAGGGGGACGCTAGTCCTTGGCAACTCAATTTCCTTCCCACTTTTGACTGTGTGTGTGCGCGCATGCTCCTCCTCCTCCGCAGCATACATACACATGTCTGTGTGTGTTTGTGCTTGTGCAGGGGCTGCAGGTTGAGTTTTGGGGTGATGACTCCCTAGTAACCACCAGGGTTGTAATGAAATTGGAGGTATGTCCTGGTGTCCACGTTGACCCCTCACAGTCCTTTTTTGCTTCCTGCCAGGTGCACCCCAGACATGGCTGTTGAGCTCAACATTCCTGTGCAAGAGTCACTCCCCTTCTAGATGGAAGTGCCTGGCTACCTCTCCTTTCTCCTCTTCCCAGCACAGGGGTTTGGCTGGTTTACCTGTAAGACAATGTCTCCATTTTGAATCTGGCCCACAGCCCCTCCTCTACACGTCTCCCTTGCTGCTCGGACCAGGCAGATATGCCCAGTCCTTGCTGCCAATAAATCTGGGTTTGTGTTTGCTTGGCGCTGGTGTATGGGGCCCCACTTAGGCTTTGCGATGTCACAGCGGTGGTCTTTGCCTTAGGGTCAGGGTTAGTCTGCTGTGCTGAGGGCATCTGGGAGGAGTGCTGGAGTGCTGCTTTCCTCCTCTCCACGGCTCCCTCCTGGTCCAGTGGGAGCTCAGCTTCCTTTACGGTTGGGGCCCAGAGCAGTTGAGACCAGTGCCAAGGTAGAAGAGAGACTCCTGGAAATTTTATTCACTTGGGATCTTTCTGGGCCCCCAGTGTTGATGCCCGTCTGTCTTCTATCCTAGATTTACTCCTCCCCCAAACACACAGAGCTTTGGACTTTCAGTACTGCACTTAAGCTTGCTGGGAGATGTATAGGCTTACTAGTGGTGTAGCAGGATCCCAGCTGATGGAGTTGACTCTACACTGTGCTGACCCTATGAAGTCTGATGTCCGGGTGAAGATGACCCCCACAGCCTTGGGTTTGAATGGGGAGTGTCTCCGGCCGGTACTAGAAACTACGAGAGAACTAATAAAAGCTGGTCATGGGAAACAGGCCATGGGATGGCATTTCCATGGTCTTGGCCACTGCGGTGGAGTTCCTCCTGTGTTCACTGCTGTTGGGTGCAGAGAAAGGGGACAAGGGCATTGGAGATGCCATTGGCTCAGGAGTGCAACCTGGGGTGTTGTCCTCTGGGGGAGGGGCTGAGGCTACAGTAGTTGAGGATGTTTCTCACTCGGGTGTTTGTGGCCCCGTCTCTTGTTCTCCACTGACTCCATCCTATTGCTGGGCAGGGGTTCGCTTTCTCCTTTTGGGGAAGTTCGCTGTTGTTCTCAGCAGTATGGAGGCTCTTGCTCTATGGAATTCCCGCAAAGCTTCTGAGGTTCAGGCGGTTCGGTTCATTAAGCATTCTCCAGCCCCCGGCCCTGTCTTGATTATTTTTCCAGCTGCTGTGATGGAATACCCCATCAAAAGTTACCTAAGGGAGGACATGTTCACTTGTGCTCACAGTCCGAGGGTGCAGCTCGTGGTGGCGGGGAACACAGCGGCAAGAGCTTGAGACATCTGGCCACATCAGTACATCAGTCCCCCGTTGGGAAAGCAGCACGGTGCATGCCTTGTGCTCAGCTCTTTCTAATCCCACCCAGCCCAGGGAGGGGCGTCACCCACCTTTAGGGTGGTGTTGCAGGATACTTGATCACACCTCAAACCCTGAGGTTAATTAAAAATATCCTGAGGTCAGGAGGCAAAGCCAGTGACTAGTTGACAGGAAGTAACCATAGAGGGTAATGAGGGAGTCAGGAAGACAGAGAAACTCACAGGAAGTAGTAGGAAGTATGGCTGTCTTTTTTGGTTTGGCATGGTGCAAGGACACTCTGTTTTAGTTAGGGTTTCTATTGCTGTGAAGAGACACCATGACCATGGTAACTCTTATAAAGTAAAACTTTTTTTTTTCGAGACAGGGTCTCTCTGTGGCTTTGGAGGCTGTCTTGGAACTAGCTCTTGTAGACCAGGCTGTTCTCGAACTCACAGAGATCCGCCTGCCTCTGCCTCCCGAGTGTTGGGATTAAAGGTGTGAGCCACCACGGCCGGCATGAAGTAAAACATTTAGTTGGGGTGATTTGCTACAGTTTTAGAGATTCAGTCCATTACCAGTATGACGTGGAGCATGATGGCATGCAGGCAGACGTGGTGCAGGCAACAGGAAGTCAACTGAGACACTGGACAGTATCCTGAGCATAGGAAACTTCAAAACCCACCCCCACAGTGGCACACTTTCTCCAACAAAGTCACATCTCCTAATAGCGCCACTCTCTATAAGTTTATGGGGGTCAATTACATTCAAACTACCACATTCCATTCCCTGGCCCCCATAAGCTTGTAACATATCATAATGAAAAACTCATTTAGTCCAATTCCAGAGTCGTCATAGTCTATAACAACCTCAACCCAGTTTAAAAGTTCAAAGTCTCTTCTGAGATTCATGCAAATCTCCTAACTATAATCACCTGTAAAAATAAAAAAGCAGATCACATACTTCCAACATATAATGGCAGAGAATGCATTACCATCCCAAAATGCAGGGAAGGGCACATAGTGAGGAAAGACTGGACCAAAGCAAGACCAGAAGCCAGGTGAGCAAACTCTGATCTCTGCACCTCCATGTCTGATGTCAGAGCTCTTCGATTCTCTAGCTCCTTTCAGCTCTGTTGACTGCAACACATCTCTCTCTTGGGCTGGTTCCACTCCCTGTTAGCAGCTCCCCTCTGGCATCTCCAACATCTTGGGGTCTCCAAGGCAATCCAAGCTTCAACTTCACAGCTTCATGCAATGGCCTCTCTAGGTCTCCATTTAGGGACACCCCTGACACATGACTGGCCTTATCGTCTTTCTTTAGGCACAGAGGCAAATTCTATTACCCATTTCTTCTATCATTAACTCTAAAGCCAGAACCACGTGGCCGAAGCTGCCAAGTTCTGTGGCTTACTGGGGCTGGAACATGACCCCCTTGTTCAATGACATTTTCACTAGCTTTCTGTCTTTCACTGCCTAAGTTTGGCTGTCTTGAAACTTGCTCTTTAGACCAGGCTGGCCTCAAACTCAGAGATCCGCCTGCCTCTGCCTCCTGTGTGCTGGGATCAAAGATGTGCATCACCACACCCGACTCTACGATTTTCTTTAATTCTTTTTCACAAATTGGAAACTTAACTAGATGAGATCTTGCTCTGAGGTCACCACTCCCTTTACCTAATTTTTTTTCTACTCAGTAAAGCATTTATTTTTTTCCTTTTTTTAAATTTTATTTTCCAGTTTAAATTTAGATAAGAAACAAGGTTGCTCCCTTTACCTAATTTCTTAATCCACTTATCTCCTTGAACACAGGATTTAGCTCCATTCCATTTTCTGGTGCTCTTTTTCTTTTCAAAATTTGCATTTTATAATTTACCCTGTTCACCTTGCTCCTTTTCGTTATAAATCTTCATTAGAGTTAGCACTAATAACCTCACAACAGAGTCTGTACTAGGCTGTTTTGAGATTCTTTTGCCCATAAAATTAATCCAAAACTCCTCATTTTAGCCTCAGGCAGACTCTTCAGGCAAGGGCAAAAGGTAGCCACTTTCTTCACCAAAACATCACAGGAAGGATCTCTAGGTAGCATACTAAAATTCTTCCCATCTGAAACCTCTTGAGTGAGCCCCCAACAGTTCCAGTAACTCTCAGCACCTCTGTCTTCCATGCTCCTAACTAGTATGACTCATTAAGCAGTGCTTAAAGCATCCCACTGCTTTCCTGACCTAAAGCACCAAAGTCCCAATTCCTCCACACACATGGTCAGGCCTGTCACAGCAACACCTCAATCCCTGATACCAACTTCTTAGTTTTGGTTTCTATTTCTGTGAAGACACACCATGACTACAGCAACTCTTATAAAGTAAAACATTTAATTGGGGGCGGCTTGCTTACAGTTTCAGAGGTTCTGTCCATTATCATCATGTCGGGGAGCGTAGCCACGTGCAGGCAGATGTGATAGCTGAGAGTTGTGATATTTTGTTTATGATCTAACAAAGCTTGCCTATAGCCAAGCTACTAGTTAACCACACATACATTAAGCCACTAGTTAGTCACAGAGGACAGGCAGTGGTGCCACTTCTGTAATCCCAGCTCTCAGGAGACAGAGGCAGATGGATCTCTGTGAGTTCAAGGCCACCATGGGCTATGTGAGAGTGAATGAATCTGAAAGAGAAACAGAGCTCACACCTTTAATCCCAGAACTAGACGGAATATAAGGAGCTCAATGATTCAGTGGAGTCTGAGAATTCATGGAGACAGGATTGCCCTTTCGGTCTGAGCTTTTTAAAAATCTATCTCTGGTCTTTTGTTATTTGTGTTACAGAGAGTCCTACATCTTGCAGGTGACAGGAATTCAACTGAGACACTGGGCAGTATCCTCAAAGCCCACCCCCACAGTGACACACTTCCTCCAACGAGGCCACACCTCCTAATAGTGCCCCTCCCTATGAGATTATGGGGGCCAATTACATTTAAACTACCACACTGAAACACCAGCTAAGGACAAAGATTGCTCCTCAAGCTCTCTGAGCCAGCAGGTTTTCACCCCAGCCTCTGACTTCTGAGTCTTTATTGGTAAAAATCATCAGATATAAATTTAGATAAAAACCCACCTCAGTCTAATCAAGATAATCTCACACAATCATGCCCAGGGACTTGTGTCGTGGGTGCTTTTATGTCCTATCAAGGCCACTGGGGTAAAGGGATACTACCCCATCTGTCCCCAGTCCATCTCCCTTTATTGGGGTATACCAGGAGTGAGGAAAAACATGGGTGTAGGACCCAGAAAATTGGTGTGGTCTTTAATGACAGGAACAGGCAACCCTGGTATCTCCAGGGTGTTTGAGGAGACACAGACTTGGGGCTCTTAATTCAGTGGTTAAGAGTGCTTGTTGCTCAACAATGAGGACATGGGACAAGCTGGGTGTAGTCTTGTACACATCTGTAACCCCAGTGCTGTTGGGAGTAGAGTCAGGAGGATCACTGGGGTTTACTGACTGCCAGTCTAGCCGGAAGGGTTTGGAGCTCAGGGAGAAACTCTACCTCAAAGGAATAAAGCAGAGTGCGATAGAGAGGATCACCCAACAGCCCCTCCTGCGCAGACACCGCAGAGGTGAGCATAATGAGGGTTATAACTAGGAACACCTTAGGCACTAGATGACTAGGCATTATGCTTTTGTTAATTCCTGTCCTCCCTTTACCACTTTCAAGTCATTCCTCCTCTTAGGATTCCAGCTGTGAGAGAGACACATGTAGTCAATGCCTTTCTGGACCTCACTTGTTTCATTCATACAACGACCGCCCTTTGGTATGATCTCATTCGTCTTTATGGTGAAGCAATAGTCATGTGTCTATATAAAGTCTGTTACAAAGTGAGTGTAGGGTCAAGCATGGTGGTGTACACCTTTAATCCCAGCACCATGGAGGCAAGCGGGTGAT